GAGGGAAGGTTTAAGTTGGACATCAGGAGGCGCTACTTCACGGTCAGGGCGGCTAGGGTCTGGAACCAGCTTCCAAGTGAGGTGGTGCAGGCTCCTACCCTGGGGGTTTTTAAGAGGAGGTTGGATGACCACCTTACTGGGGTCATTTGACCCCAGTGCTCTTTCCTGCCATGGCAGGGGGTCGGACTAGATGATCTGCTCAGGTCCCTTCCGACCCTAGAAACTATGAATAGTTTAAAAATAAATTACTGGGGGGGGGGGCAGGAAAGACAACCTAGGCTTAGATTCTGAACCAAATTCACCTTTACACTCCAAGCAGTCTTACAGAGCACCGTTTATGTATACCAAACTCCATTCCTGCTTGGTGTTTAAAAGGATTCATACATTCCATCCCCCTCACATAATTAAGATTAAGGAAAAGTGGCATTGTAAGATCTGAAGGAAATGTGTCAGGCGTTCAGGGGCACGGTGACATTAGCACAGTAGAAGAGCTAGGCTTGCTGGTCTATTTTGACTGGAATAAAAAAAGTCTAAAAAAAAGATGCAGGCTCACAGAGAAACTTCAGCTGTAACTGATTTGCCAGGACATCCAACAAAGCTCCTCAGGACTTTTCCCTGAACCAATGAGTCATTTGCCCTCTACTGCAATAACCAGTAAACACTATGTGATGCAGCATTTCCAAAAATAGCAAACTCTGCAGAAGACGCAGCTTGGTGATGCCTCTGACGTGGCAGTGAAGAGAGCAGGGGAGGGAACGTGATGAGCTACCACATCTTCAATTCTGAATTTTTCTTTTCATACCTGATGCTCCAGTGGCAGCGGCAGCAGCAGCAGCGTCATCCATGAGATCTCCTTCTTCCAACTCCATATTACTACCATATTCCACATCATTTTCTCCAGACCTTCAGAAGGGAAACCCAGCAAACTCCAATTCAACATTATGAGGTTAACCATCTTCAAAAACCTGAACACTCCTGAAAGGTTTTATGGACCCCAAAATCACAAAAATTAAAAGGCACTATTTGTTACTTGACTCAAAAAAGCGTGGACTTCTGGCTTCAAAGCACGGAAGTTTTAGGACCCCATTTTGCCACCCTTCATACACACTGCAAGAATGTGGCACATTAACCATCTGGATTTGACAGCATCCTTTTAACTGTCCTACTACTGACAGGCTGAAGCTTGAGTATCCTGGTTCTACGTAGCACTTAATATCTTACCCACCGCCCTCTTAAATACTACACCTTCGGAATATACCCACATACTGTAAGAGTGTTAATCAACAAGAACAGAATTTTGTTCCTTGGAAAGAGCCGTTCACAAGATGAACGCAATATCTTTGGCCAGCGAACTGAGTAAAAACAAGTTGAAAATAAAATCAGAGCATTCCTTTCTGGCCTAACATCCTGTCTTTCTACTCCAAACTACTGTCCATCTCTTGGTCCCTGATCTGTCAGAAAGCAATGCAACGCTCCACCACCGTGATATGCAAAGTCAGTCCAATGGGAATGAACATCAGACCAGGAGACAAGAGGATAAAGTCAGGGGAGACTTTGCAATTCACTCACATTGTTTCTTCATCGATATCATTTTCTTCAGTGTTGCTTGTGGCTGTTGAACTGGCAGATGAGCTACTGCCACCATCAAGGTGATTTGCCTCATCCTCTCCAGCAAGGTCAACTTCCAGATCTCCGTCTGAGAGGTCGTGCTAGAGCGACACAACACAAGAACGTCGGCATAAGGTAATTCTTCAGCGCAACGTTTCCCTTCGCCCTTTTACACACAAAAGGTTCTAAACAGAAAAAGCCCCAACAATAGACAGTAAGATTGCCCAGCAACCAGGAGGACCTGAAAGTGCAGCACATGAGGTGTTTGCCTTGAGGCAAAGCTGCGCCCCTCAGGAAGCTGGATTTTCAAATTTGTCACCAATGAGTTATAATTTGGACTTTCTCCCTTACAGAAAATTTCTTTGCTACCACTTACCCTGAAGATCAGTGCCGTTTTCCCTCAATACCCATTAGTTGTACTTTTGTGGAGAATGTATATTATGATTTGGATTGCACAAGTGCATGTCTACATGTCTAGCTCTAGAATGAGAGTATATTAGAGAGAAGGCAAAAAGTTGAGCAGAAGATGTTTCCTACATTAAAGTCTTCCTGCTGGATTTTGTCCTCCTCCTCATCCTTGGTATCTCGCACAGATGCCAGAGCGGTGACATTCTCAAGCAGCACTTCTGAATTTTGTCCAGGTTTCTTTGGTCTTGCTTCCAGCCCATCTTCGTTTTGTGGGCTAAGATGAGTGTCCGGAGGTGACATGCCTCGTGACTTTTGGGTACGGGAAAGCTCAATTGCAAGTCTCTTAAAATATGTTAAAATACACACAGTAAGAGACAAGTAAGTTAGACAAATTACAAAAAGCGGCTTTATTTCACAGATTTTAAGGGTTCAGTATGAAGGATCGTGAACAAAGAAGAACCCAGCCCTATCAACGCTAAAAGTAGCAGCAGGTATCCAAATACGTGACAATAAAACCTCAGTTTAGTGGCCAGTCACTAATTCCACTTCAAAGAATGACTCCATATACTATAACATAGCATTAATCGCTGTAAGATAAGAATTTGTTTCAGGCAAAGAGCCTTACAAAAGATTAACATCTCCAGAACTGGCATCCAAACCCACCCCTGCTTACCTCTTTAAGGTTGTTTATCTGTTGGATGTAACTCGTCTGAGCTGCTTCCAGTTGAGTAATGTACCAATGTTGGTCCCGACACTTTTGGAAGAAAGTAGGTGAACGCACTTGGAATCTTAAAAAAGCCATAAGAAAAAAGAATTTACAGTGCTTGCAAAGACTCATCTAAAAAGCTTGCAATGCTTACAGTCTGGAGATAAAAATTTAACAGAGAACAAAACACTAGTACAATTTTACCAGGTGAGATTACAGCTTTCTGGAATATCAGAAGAGATCAACCCCAGAAGGCATTTAAAAAAGCTAAATTATCTTCTACCAAGTATGGCAGGATTATAAAGCATTTTGCATACTAGCTGGATCCATGCATATGTCCTGCAGTAATGGCAGTTAAGACTATTTAAGGTACTTGTGCTAAAAATGCCCTTACAAAGCAAGGAGGACTAGCCAATGCTCACTCAGACTTGAGAAGGGCCAGCCCCCATTGCACTGTGCTTTGTAGAAGTGAAGTACCTGAGCTAGCTCCCGACGGGTTAGCCTGGGTATATGAGACAGTATGGTTCTCAGTCTGTATTACCCCTAAACAAAGTGGACCAGGGGTTTATTTAAAAAACAAAACAAAACAATACTCTGCAGCGTAGATGCACCCTCAAAAGAAGAGTCTGTCTTTAAAATCAGATTTCCTCAGGCTTCGAAACTGCATGGAAGCTGAAGTGCAAATCAGCATCAAGTGACAGTTCCAAATGTAATGAAAGACACCTCAGCAAAACTTCCTGAAAACCTCAGCAAACCTCTAACCATTCTTTAATCAAATCACTGGAATGATTAATATGCAGGCTTTTTACTGATTACGTATTTCCTGGGGTTAAACATGGCTGCAAAACTAAAAATGCAGCAAATAAAAGAGAAGACATTAAGAAAACTTTTTCTTTAATCAGACAAAGGAATGAGGTGTGAAAAGGTTTAGGGTGTTGTCTTCCTAAAGTGTTTCAATTATAAATAGAAAAATGCTATTTTTTTTTCCAAGCGTTATTTAAACAATGTAGCCCACACAGATTGTCATGCTGTTCTTCCAGAGTGAGATGCAGCCACAAAGGATTTGACATTACATCATCTTTCAGTTGCTGGCAAGTTCAGTGGCCATCCCTGTACACACACATTCATATTTCTGATACATCCCAAGTGGTTTCTAATGGGAGTGAGTGGGACAAGTGAGAAATTACTTGAAATAGAAGGGCAACGTACCCATTTTATCTATTATAACGTAGCAAAAAGAGTTAGTTCTATATCCATTACAAATACTGCTCCCTGCTCCAACTTCCCCTGCACTCATACAGTGGGGCCCAAAGCAGGGAAATGCATTATCCCAGCTTTGAAAACGAGGACATGCAGAATCTTCCTGAAGTGTTTGAAATTTGCTAGTTAAGGATATCTGATATACACCTATTAGTGTCAAATAGTAGTTCTGCAAGTGACTGCTTCATCTCAAAGAAATCTATGTAAATCTCCCCCACCTCCTTGAAGCACACTCTCTTCAGAAGCTCATAAGAGCCAAATCCTTTTATTTTGTGACAAAACCTGTCACACTATTTTTTGAATTAATCTATTTTAATTATTTCCTACGCTGACAAGCACTTTCATGAAACGATGGCAAGAAACACGAAACCTCTCTCTTACCTTAGAATTACTGTGTCATTTTGTCTGTTTAAATACCCTTCATTGGCAAGCAGGTCTAGGCGAAAGAATCTGTTGTAGCCCCAGCATTCTCCAACTTCAAAATCAGAGGCAAACTCTCGAATGATGTTTTTAGCCGGGTCGTTGGTGGACTGGTGAACCATCTCTACCCGGTACTCATATCTAAAAATGCAAATTGAAATGAAACAAGAAAGCAAGCCAGACTTCACTATAACAAGCAAACAGAAAAAAAATGCACTATTTTTCTGAAGTTTCCACTAAAAAGGGTGATTTCACAGAGACTTTCCCCATGTTGGAAGTGTACAGCACATGGAACGATTTTTGAGGGAACACACACCTTCTAAGTAGTAAAGACCTAAGGCTGAGCCAAGAGGCAAGTAACACTACATTTTCGGACAAGCTGGAGGATTTACGTATTTATAAACTGAACAGCTTAAACAACAGCAATCAGGGCTCCACCACAACACTAAGTGGTAACGTAGCCTATTAGTGCTTCAAGGCAGGAATTCTAGGCCGCTGGTGTCAAAGGCTAAGTGTGTCAGCACAGATAAAATCTGGAGTCAAAGCGCTGAGTGTCTGCCGCCCTACTCCACATGAAACACAAGTGTGATGTGACTGACAGTAGACAGATTGTAAAGTGAAGGCAGACCTCTTCATAAACCAGCAAATTAGAAGGACAGCCTCAGACCTAACAAAGCAAGACATAAGAGCAGGGGAGAATCTCTGCAATGAAGTCCCCATTTCATGTTTTAAAGATTTGACAATCGTGTCCTTCCATCATTCATGAGACTTGCTCTTCCCTGGTTCTGTGCAGAACAGCACAGAGGAAACAGTTTAACTGACTGGAGACAATGCTATCAAATACACACAAAAAGAAAGAGAGAGAGAAAATAAGTTGTTCTCCCCCTAAAATGTCAGCTCAAAATATGGTTTCATATCAACTGTGCCCTTTTGGATTAAATGTTATTTTTAGAACTTTTAAGGAGAAAAAGAACCCATTTAAAATGTTTTATACATACACAACAACATTTCTAGGCTGTTTTCTCTACTTTTCGCAATGTATGCAAATAGTTCAGGGTAGCTGCACTGAGTTAACAAACCATAATCACTACTTAGAACATTCTTAGATAAGCTTTTTGTAGACACATGTCCTCTGCACGCACATTTCTTTGCAGGGCCTACATACATGTCACATAACACTGAGGAGGGGAAGCTGAGCCACGTGCAAATAATAAGGCCCTAGTCCAGCGTGCGTATGCAAAAACCACAAAATGGTGTTTTTTGGCCATCTCCCACACAGTGCAAAGACTACTGCAGCTAGTGGGGTACCACTAGTGTTAAATATTGGCAGAAGTTTTTAACAAGGCAAGCGTCCTCTTCCCTTTTCAGTAACTGTATTTTTATTCTTAACTCACGATGGACAAGAAGAGACGTTAGAAGGTTGCAGCTGCTGTTACTCAAACCTGTCAGCACCTCCTCTCCAGCTCTTTATATCAGAATGAGTACCCAGCCATCTCAGGAAGGTCCTTGCATCAATCAGGCCTTGAATCTTTCCTTGCAGGCCCCAAAATTCAATGACCGAGACCCTCCCCTTGACCTGAATGGTGCTACTCAGTTGTCAGTCTGACACCCCTTCCACAGCACTATTACCGCACCCTTCCAGAGTGGGCTCAGCGCTCTAGTTCCAGATTCTCTCCACTTGCCAAGCTGTGGTTTCTGAGCCTTGCAGGTCAGACTTTCACAGGCAAAGGAAGTTCCAAACACACCTCAGTCAGTCTCCCTGGAAAGACAGAGTCCCGTAAACTTTCTTGCTCCAAGTGTAGCCATGCTTACTCCCAGGGAATTAGCATTTAACTGCTGGCTAGAACTCATTCCCTGGAATATCTGCTGCCTCCATTTCCAATCTAGAGTGCACAAAGTATCCTAAAAACATTTCACTTAGAAGGAGATTGGTCTAGGAAGCCAATCTCAGGACTGGAAGCTGGGACACCTCAGTTTATTTTCAGCTTTATCACTGACTTACTTCTCACCTTGGGCAGCCCCCTTGCTATCTGTGTCCCACCTCTCTATTAATAAAAGGGCACTAAAGACCCGATTCAGAAGTCCAGTTAAGTCGATGGGAACCATTCCATTAATGTCAAGGGGGGTTGGACCAAGCTCTAGCAAAGGTACAAGGTTTGGATCATGCTTTATAAGGCTCTATGAATTCCACAGAGAATTACGAGAGACATTTAAATAATAGCCATTTCCTTACTTGGATGTTTCTGGCAATCCAGCAGACAGCTCCAAAAACACGGACAAATAGTAACCACGCACGACTCCATTTCCATCCTTTAAAAGAAATAAGGAGGTACAATTATTAATGGGTCAAACTAGTACAGGGTATAAGTTCATGATTCAGAATTAAAATACACAATATTTTACAGCCTCAGGTCAAAGCAGTCAAACAAAATGTGTTTTTACTGTGCCATGGCTAAAAACCACTACCGTAGCTTAAGTTAAGGTAGAATCGTGACACCACAGTCACACATTTTCCAAGTGCTAAACTCTCTCAGAATTTGACAGTTGTAAATCAGAATCATGGAAACTGCATTTCAGTAATTCAAATAAGCGTAAACTGGAATAATTTGGTGAGTGCCTCCAGTTTCTAGTCCTGTTCCTTTTCTGAAGCTATGCATTAAGAGGACAATAAAATAAGAGCAAAGCTTTCAAATTCCCTTAACCACAAATATATTGTAGCACCTTTTCTTCATAGCTTTTACCAAACGTTTGGCATGAACAACAAAGTTTAGAGAGAGCCAGTTTTCTTAAATAAATGCACAGCTACATTTTGGTGCGGGGGAGAGGAAGATTTTATAACCCAACAGCATTACATTGCAAAAAGCCCTTCTCCTATCCACTGACAGAAAGGAAAATCTACTGCTATTGTTGAATGAGTCTAAGCTGTATTTTACATCCTGTGAGAATCATGTACGTGGCTGACTGAATTTGAGACATTTTGGGCTCTTTTACACCTCTCCAGCTCAGTGCAAAACAGAACTGTGCATATGTGCGAACCCAGCAGAAGAATGCGATTCCATTAAAGTCCACCTATATTAGCTAGCAAGCCAAGCAAGCCGCTGTGGTACTCAAATCACTTAAAACAGGAAGAATAATTTTTCTCCACGCACAATTCTAATAGTATCCAGAGCTGCCCGAAAGCCTTGACAAAACGCGAAGGTTCAGCAGGAACGTGAACCAGGAACGTGAACCTTTGCTACTTTGGTTTAACATTCACGCATGTAAGTACCTCAGTAGTCAGAAGGCTGCACCCTCAGTGAGATTACGAAAAATGCCATACACACGATGTCTCTGCTGAAAATGTCAGCGATAGAGACTGCACAGGACAAATTCCCCTCCAACAGCGACGCCCTTGCGTTCTCCCATCTCCCAAAAACAATTTCAGCTAATTAGGATGTACATATGTACTTAGACTACAAATACCTCCAGGTATAAATGCACACACAATAAACCAGTTTAGCTGCAGTCCTGTAAACGTTTAAGAGATTATAGGCAGAGATGATGGCAGCACCTACTAAAGTTACCTGACACTTGTCACGCTAAAACTCTGTTTTTAGCGCTAATACAAAGTCCAGTGAAGTCAACGGGATTGTTCCATTAGCTTCTGTGGACTTTGGATCAGCCCCGAGCAGAGCTGCAAGGCTCAAGACATTCTTTGAAAAGCTCTCACTTTCCTTGAAAAACAAAAAAGAACTGTAAATAGCAGTCATGTCCCCACTTGCATATTTCTGGCAACCCAGCAGAGAGCTTTGAACAGAGACCAGTAGTAACTGCACACCACTCTGACTCAGTGCTTTGCAGCAGAATGCTTCCCTTGTAAATATTAACCACATTTTACAGATTAGGAAACCGAGGCAGAGAGAGGGAAAATGACTTGCCAGACAGTCACGCAGCAAGCTAGTGACAGAATCAGAAATAGTACTCGGGTCACCCAAGTCCTAACCCAGTGCCGTAGCTGTTGACTACCCTGCTTCCCAAAGACAACATCCACCTACTGCTGCTCTCAGTCCACTCAAGCAACACAAATCTGCACAGGGGATCCGAGGTTCCAACCCTACTGCCGAATTAGACAGCTTACAAGAAAAGACTGAATGATATATCATTTTCTCCCTGTGGACTTCAGTGTTTCCACAACCAAAGTTTAAGCTACTTGACTATGCAGAATTTATACTAATTCAGTAATAAAAGTCGAACAGAAAGAGCGTTTTGGTGCGTGTAAAACTCACTGGATAAACTTTTAGTCTCCAGCAAAGCCCCGACACTTGGAGAGGTGGACTGTAAACAGGATCAGCCCGCTGGCGCAAAGTGCTGTCAAGAGAGAGAAATAAAAATATGCAATTGCAAAGGGAGCAAACCCTTCCTGGAGAAGGGAACTTGCATACTTTCTATTCGCACATTAGGACTAGGCTTTTTGCTGCAATAAGGAAACGTAACAAAAACAAGAAGAAAACAAAACCGGCAGCGTTTTAAGGCTATCTGAGCAGTCAGGGATGAAAAAGGACACATTAGTTTTTCCAGGCCATCTCCTGGAGCCAATACTTTGCTATACTGTACTTTAAGCTTTATAAGACTGTTCCTGCCCTACAGCAAATAAACCAAGGGTAAGTCAACAGACAAAAGGATACAGGCAGACTGGAGAGAACAACTAAACAGGGAGACAATATTCATTAGTATGACAGGCTGGGTCTCAGTACACAGTAGCCTAAGCTTTGTCAATTATTATTTTTTAGGCAACATGGGCAAGGAGAGTTTTAAGGAATGTTTTGGAAGAGGACACTGAGGTAACTGTAGGTATTCATGAAGGGTGACCACACATAAAAAGGGCAACATGGGAAAAAGCGTAAGCGCCCCTTGTTAAAGGGGCAACCAGTGTCAATAAAGTTAATACTGAATGAGATGCATCTGGTGGGTGGGGTGAGAGAGACTGGAAAAATTTTAGGATCAAATTGGAGGAAAAACTCCAAACACCAAGTGGAAACAATATACTGAAAATGAAAGGGAAAAGGGAGATGGAGGGCGGTACTTGAAGACATAACTGAGGTCAAGAGAGGGTTAAAACAGAAAAGACTAAAGCAATGGGAGGCAACTTTTTTGGCAGGCATGCCACAAATTTGCCCCACATCTGCCCCGAGTGCCACTCTGATGCTCTTCCGCTGGATCAGGGGCTCTGCTTCCGGCCCCATCTGCTGCTGTGCTACTGGTCCCCTCCCCAGTCTGCCAAGTGCCACTCACACACAGAGGCTAACCGTGCCACAGGTTGGCCACCTCTGGACTAAAGCATGCTTGTATTGCAAAGGGAAGACCCAGAGGACAGCAGCAGATTAAGGAAGAGAAGAAAGGTGCTACCATTCTCTCCTAAACCTCCTATCAACCCTCACTGAAATAAGCTGTGATTCATCATCAAAACATTTTAGCTGCAAATATTACTGCCAATTTAATCAATATATTCTAAAATGAATTCCTTAATGTTGACATTAAAGTCTACAGTCAATCCAGAACAATGCAGGCTTGTACAGAACTAAGTGCCTGTGCAGATACTATGCAAGTATTCCTTGTGAAGTTAGTGTTTAAGCTTGGAACTACAAAGTTATATAGTTGCCATTCAGCAAAGTAAGATGTTTAGCAGCCCATTTCACTGGTGGTTACATTTGTTTCCTGTTTCTCAGATGGTTCTACATGTTGCTGTACAGCGATGTTGCTACGGTGCTGTGCTTTAGTACTTTCTTTTGCAAGTACTTAAGCACGGTGCACTAACTGCCTGTGCCGCGCTGTGAACACCACACACAGTTAGATTTTGCCACTATGTCACCATAGAGGCGCGCTATACCAAGGAACTGCACCACTACGGCAACATGGCTGCCAATCACGTGCAGACCCACACGAACGCTACGTTGCCGTAGTGCCGTATGGCGACGTGTAGATGCACCCCTGTAGAAGCAAATCAAAACTTTGATTCAGTTCCTCATTTGCACTTGGGTATCAACTGATTTCTAACAGGGAGTAATTCAGTGGCTTAAAAACTAACTGGTACAACACAGACAATTGTTCAGGACATATTCCTACCTGAAGTTTTCCAAGACAAAAGTAGTTGAGTCATAGGCTGGTACTAGTTCACTGGGAAGAAAACATAGGTGAGTTGAAGAAAGCGGTCCAGAAGTAAAAGTGGAATTTACAAAATGCTCACATCACATCACTGACATGCACAAGTATCACTGAAAGTTAGCAGGACAGTTCTAATTACTCAAACAACTCTGAAAAAAAAAAAAAATCACACTCAAGATCTCTGAGAGGACATCAAGGTTAATAAGCCAGCAATGCCACCACACTGTAGTTTTAAAGGTACAAAAGCATATCGTCTGTGCATGGGCACTGGTATGTAACATTTGAAATTAGAACCTAGAATTCTAAGGCTTTTTTCCTCCATTTAAGTTATAAATCCTTTACATTTCACACAGCTTGGAAATGAAACCAGAACTGTACATTGCAATTTCCTGTAGGGTCCCAATGACGTACGTGACCTGGTGTCTGCCACACTGGTAGTAAATTTTTAGAGCCCATTAGAGAAAAAATCAGCAACTGTTCTCAGACCAGAAAGGGTTCATATAAGCTATGTGTTTAGAAGAATTCAAGTTCCTTTGGGGAAAAAAAATATTCTGGGGAATATTTTTAAAAGTACACAATATATCTGTCTGGTTCCACTGTCAAAATTATTTCTCTCCCAGATGCCCCTCTAACTGACACACCTTATCTATTTTATATAGAGAGTACATATTTCTCCTGCCCCTATGTAAACTGACACAAAAACAGCTCAACGTGCTTAAAAGTCACAGGGAAGGAGAGCAAGAGTGGCTTAAAAACACCAGCTGTGACCTTTAGAAAGTTTACCATGATAGATTAGTTAACAACCAGAAAATGTAAAACTAGAGCCCATGTATTTATTTATTTTAAATTAAAAAAAATGATAACATGAAGCTTGCTAAATACTTCATGTTTCAGAAGACAGAAGACCCTACCAACCCTTTTAAAATAAATATTTATTTTAAAAAAGGTTTCTCAGTGATTAATTTTAAGTATTAGTTTAGGAGAGCAGCATAGGGTAATGTTTTTCAGGTTATTTTAAAAGCATGCCCCAAATGGCTTGATATGACTTACAAGAATTGAGGAATTCAAAATTCCTCAAAACACCAAGCCGTCAATTATCTGGAGAAATCCTGCAGTCAGCCAGCCTACTACACATACAGCTCTCTTCATAAACCCACACTGATGACTCCTTTCCAAAAGCAAATTGTGCCAGCCAATCATTTTTGCTGTACTATGTACTAAAGGTGACCTGCATGAGTATCTCACGAGAGCCTTACAATTATACGCCGAATGTCCCCAATAGCAAGGGCAAGAAGGACAATCGGTATACAAGCGAGTACTGCTTATTCCATTATACCAACTGGATCCCACTGCTCTGCCACCTCAGCCGACACTACAGCCTAACATCAATTACAAGGGAAGCCCTGATGGAGCATAAAAGGCAGCCTAGGAGGACGGTGAGGTGAACAAGGGAAGCGACTGCTTATTTTTAGCATATAAAGGTAAATCTAGACTCAGGATTCAGCCTGAGAAACCAAGCTAGACACCAGGAAGAGGAGAGTAATCCCCCCCACAGTCCACCACTGCTGGAGCCAAATGACCAAGCACCCTCAGTGACCTACCAGATTATGGGTGGATGTGGGGGGTCTCTCCACCAACGCTTCCCATTCCTCCAGCCTTCACAGTGCTGTACAGCAGCTTGTTCTTATCCTAGCTGTGTACCAGGCTTGCACATCCCCACATCCAGCCACCCTCCTGCACAGTAAAATTGCACCAGTTCAGTCCCCTCAGCTTTATACACCGGTATATGCTCTTACAGCACAGTTGGGAATACTCCAAGTTAGGAGAAAGTTTTTTTCCTTTTTTCTCCACTCCCAGCATTCCACAAGGCTCAAAACCATTTAGGTATGTAAGAAATTAGTCTCGTGTAAAAAAATAATAATAAATAAATAAAAAAAAACTCCACCTCCAAATGCTCTAAAATAGCCTTCAAGATCTGACAAATCCTATAAAATATAAGAAATGTAAAGCTGTACCTTGTAAAGTCTGGAGGGACAGGGGTAGTGACAAAAGATGCCATAGGCTTCCTGTGAACCTGCTGAAACATCATCAGGATCTCCGAGCTCTTAGATATCAATTCACTCTTACTGCATGATCGTAGCTGTGCAGAAGAATGCAGATAACACATTTCAGTGTCACTAAAGGCAAGAGTATTTTTAAATAAAAAGCATCAATGCAAAAGGTAACAAATACCGTAGGTTGAAAGGGGGACAGATTACAACGCTGCTCCCAAATTAACATATTTAAATTAGTTAGAATTTTCATTGAAAGGCTATTACAAAAAGCAAAAAACAAGCCAAAAACAAAAAAGACATTTGTCAATGATAGCAAAACATCTGGAGATGAGACCTGACCGGGCCTTGGCAGGATTAGTTTAACATTACATTACACAAGAGAGTGAAATACGCCCACCTACATTAAGACAGGTCTTCTATACTTTGTGCTCTCTTATCATCAGATATACTCGCATGCTAGTTCTTCATCCAACTAATCAAGCAGTATATTATCACAGTAAAAGACTGATGTGGAATGTAAATTTAGCTTCCCTTCCTCAAGTCTAACACACAAAGCCAGAACCTTTTCAGTGTAATAAAGCGTGTCTTTTCAAAATTAGATGACTCAAGTAGTAATAAACACTTCAACAAGAGGGGGGAAGAACCTAATCTTTTATGTCCTTTGAACAGCTGATAATATCCTTTTTAACAGGCAATGCTGTTGCAAAAATACCCAGTTCAAGTCTATGTCTTCATTATAATTGAGACATGAGAACAACATGCCTGAACTAGAAAGCTAAAGTTTGCCACCTTGCTCAGGAGAGAATAATATGTACTTAACAGCAAACACCTTTTGGACATAAATTCAAAAAAATCTATTATTCCTTAAAAAGAATAGGAAAGCCAAAACCTGTATATGTAATAAAAAGTTCTAGTAAGCTACAGAAGTCTCGTAGATAATAGATGTTTCTCTACTGTTTACCAAGTACTGAGACTCCCGATTACAGGAAACGTAAGTAATGTTAACTTTTTTGCATGACTGCAATGTTGATGACTTGAATTTTATAAAACACAACAAAGTCCTCTGAGTTACATGACATAAGGAAAATGGTTTTGGAATGAGGTATGAAGAAGAGGACAACAGAAAACATGCCCACATATAGTCTGGAAGAGCACTTGCCAAACTGCACTGGCTGCTGCTACGGACATTAAGGATGGAAAAAAAAGGCCTATAAAATGCAAGGGTAGAATCACATTTCCAGAACAGGTGATAAAATGGTTACACTTTAGACAGACATAGAGAAAAGGAATATACAGGACAGAGGACTTAACTCACGTAAAGGAGAAGTTCCCTACCACTACCCAGAAGCCTTGAAGATCTTCTTCCAGGCTTCATCATGCACAACTTATTATATAGAGGGATTGAGGGGGGTGGGGGGAAGAAAAGATTCCTACTTGCCCTGAGCAAGTGAACATTTTCAAGGCGAGCGCAGTCAACCTCTACAATGTAACTTGCACTTTCAAGTTGTTTTTAACCCTTCTGGTTGGAGAGAAAGCCTTCCAACTGTGAAGCGAGCAGGGGTAAGTGAGGAGGGGTGGAAAATGTCAATGTAATGACATCTTGCTACAGCTGCAGTCAGACAACTCTAGAGTATTTGCCATGTTGCAATCTGAACAAACCAAATAATTATGTTGTTTTCACATTATTGCTAGTAACTTCTTACTAATTACCTAGTTATTCAGAAGGCAAGAGACTACATGAAGAAGAATGTTCTGTCACTTAAAGACGGAAGCCATAAAAACATTTTTTGGGAAGGACTGTGGGATATATCCAACTGCATCACAAAAAAAAAAAAAATGTAGTCCTAGCCCATGGATAAATGCATCATTCAAAACAAAGAGAAAAACTGATAAGTCTCCTCATCTAGCTTCTAACACTTCCACAATGATTATTTTCCTAATCACCTGGTGTTCTACTTCCTGCAGCAGGGATTCCAGAAGTTCAGTTTCCTGGGTGAGTGATGTCTTTTGACCTGTTTAAAAGAAAGATCTACTGATGATTTTTCCAATGAAGCTCCTTTCTAGAGATTGTTCTAAAACCTAGTAAGGTAAAGGATTTCTAAATATATCAAGGTTGACGGAGAAGACATTTTAAAGGAAGTCCACTTTTTTAATTAGAGCTGCAGTGAATGAGTCACCTGAGGTTTAACACAGTAATGAAACATTCCTAATGTCCCAGAAACGACAGAAAAGGATTTTGTACTTAAATGAACTTATACTGATCGGTCAAACTTAACTTGAAAAATAATTTTTGATGTTAAAAAGTCACATCTTTAAAGGAAAAACAATCGAATTACATTGTTTAAATATAATGTTTGCACATTACAAGAGGCATTAAGACTGTAGCAAGACAAAATAGAAAAAGACTCCAATTCAAATGTGTTCGGACACAGGGATTTGCTTTCTCTCTATCAAATATTAATTAATACTTGTAAAGCACTTTGAAGTCCTTAGAGAAAAGCTCTTAAGTGCAAAGCATTATTCTGTACAAGCCAAATAACTAGGGCAATCTAAGTGGTTTAATAAGTGACCTTCAATCAGTGCATCTCTGAATCAAATGCTGCGATTGATTACAGCATTCAATATGGGCATGTTTAAGTGCAGTAATGCCTGATACCAACTTAGAAATAGCTTAACTAAAATAAAAAAAGGCCTTCATTTGGTAATAATTATAGCCTAGATTTCTGTTAAAAACAGTGTATTATGTTTGCTATCATGGCTTATTCTCTTCACACAACATACAAAACATATGGTAACTGTCAAGAGTCACACGTTAAGTAACCCTTTCAGGCATGCAAATTTCAAGCTATTTCTTTTGAACAAAAGCATCCAGGATAAACCTTCAGCATAGCGTGTTATTGATATTATAGTTAATCATTAGGGAAGTTCCTGTCCCCAGGAGTTTACAATCTACAACAGGAGTGGGCAAAATGTAGCCTGCAGGCCGGATGCAGCCCACCAGGCCATTCTATCTGGCCCGCGGTGACCCTAAAAAATTTAGAAAATTAATATTCATCTGCCCCTGGCTGCCTGTAATGCGACCCTCAATGGCTTGCCAAAACTCAGTAAGCAGCCCTCCGCCTGAATTAATTGCCCGCCCCTGATCTACAAGCCTCATTGTGTATACTGCATGACCAAAACCCTAAGAAGCAGTCTCACCAATCCAAAGAAATTGATATTCCAAATTGGGGCGATTAATATTTAGCTCACTGTGCATTCCTTTGGGTAAGTGAAAGCAAGTACTAGATGGAGAGAATGAAGTAGTCGCCCATATTTGTCTGAGGCCAGGCAGAAGGCAGGGGACATTTGCATCTTTACAGACTAACTAAAAAAGATATGTATCACATAAGCTTTTGTAAGTAGAGGGCTTACTTCATCAGATGCTGTGCAGGGACTGTTTCCACTACAGAGATGTTTTCCCCTCGGGACCAAAAGGACTTGACAGTTTATTCAAAAGATATGCACAGAAGCAAACCCAAGGATTGCACAACAAGATGTTTGCACATATATCCACACATCTCAAACTACTGTACAAGCATCATGTAAGCAAGTGCCCCTGTACTTAGAAGTACCTCCATCCTATTTATAAAGGGAAGAACAGAGGGAAAGGTTATATGATTCGCCCAAGACCAGTAACAGTCTGAAACAAATGCGTGTAGGAGTGCCGATTCTAAATACCCTGCTTTCACCCTCAGACAATGCTGTCTATTTACAGAGACAAAGTGCTACTCAGCAGAGAAATCCCATGCTGAAAGTTTCTTTAAAAGATAGGCTGGGATACCACAAAGGTAGTAAATTACTGCCATCAGGAAATAACACTTCACGCTTTGCATCTTCAAAGTGTAGCACAACCATTTGTCTTAACAAGGTGGTACACAAACTTCAAGTCACCATACGACAGTCTCTAATGGGATTAAAATGTAGTTATGTCTAACTACAAGTTAGATCACAGTAACCATGCAATTAACAAGTGGCACTGCTATATTTAGAAACCTTCTGTCTTCAACTAAAAGCCAGGAAACTGCTGCATGCGCAAGCAGCATACAATTCAATGGAAGAAAGAAACATACACAGACAACAAACCCATGATCTGCAAGTAAACAGATATTACTATTCCAAATTAAATTACTACAATGGGTCTGGATTGTTACGTAAATAAACAGCTTGCCCAACTACCCAATCATCCCAATACAGACAAAGCTTTTTGCCTCTTTCCACATCATTCTCATATTAGTCCTGAAACAGAGAAGTTTGCAGGGTATGTTTTAACAGACTCCAATATAAACCAAACTGAACCAAGTAATTAATATCTGGGAAGTCTGGGCTGTTAAAATT